GTTTGGACACAACAAACAGTATACAACAGTTTGGACACAACAAACAGTATACAACAGTTTGGACACAACAAACAGTATACAACAGTTTGGACACAACAAACAGTATACAACAGTTTGGACACAACAAACAGTACACAACAGTTTGGACACAATAAACAGTATACAACAGTTTGGACACAATAAACAGTACACAACAGTTTGGACACAACAAACAGTACACAACAGTTTGGACACAATAAACAGTATACAACAGTTTGGACACAATAAACAGTATACAACAGTTTGGACACAATAAACAGTATACAACAGTTTGGACACAAACACTATACAACAGTTTGGACACAATAAACAGTATACAACAGTTTGGACACAACAAACAGTATACAACAGTTTGGACACAACAAACAGTATACAACAGTTTGGACANTATGGTCTGACTGTATTGTCTGACTTTAAAGTCTTCTGAATGACTGTTGGTCTCTGCAGGTTGGTAAAGTAGACTGTGCAGCAGAGTCAGGGTTGTGTCAGTCTCTCTACATCCATAAACCCTGTGTGGCCGTCTTTAAAGGACTGGGGATTCATGATTTTGAGATCCACCATGGTCAGTATACATATGTTCATGWATTTTTTTCTTTCCAATGTGATTTAATTTCACCATCAACAGTTCTGATAACCAGTTAAAAAGCTTCAGTCTAACAGCTTTCATTAATTATTTGTTCTGTAAGAGTTGATTGTCTCAGACTGTCTGTGTTGTSCCTTTCCTTCAGTCTGTCTGTGTAACCCGTTTGTTTCTGTAAAGGCAAAGACGTGTTGTACAACATCGTGAGTTTTGCAAGAGACAGTGTTCGTGCTCATGTGACTACTCTGAAGCCAGACAACTTCCCCTCAGACAGAAAGGAGCCGTGGCTTGTCGATTTCTTTGCTCCGGTTTGTAACTGAAGACTTTACACACACTTCACTGTTGTTAACACACACAACATCTGTTAGAACCCCCCTCTTCCCATACAAAACTAATGGAGTCCATACAGGTTCATTAAGTGAGTAYACATGTGGAGGTGGGCCATGGTGGTTCAGCTGTTAGAGCTGTTACAGCAAGAAGATCACAGGTTTGACTCTCAGCCAGGTTGGGTGCAGTTTGCATGTTCTTCAGGTTAATCGTTAACTTTAAATTCAAGGAATCAAGGAAGTTTTATTGTCATTCACAACACATTTCTATGTGGTGGAACGAAATTTCATACCCAGATAGTTCCTAGGTATGAGTGAGTATAAATGGTTTTGTGTTGTTTGCTGGKACTGTGATGGACTGAGCAGGGTGTACCCCGCCTCTCACACTTAAGCATTTATGTGAYGTATCACTTTAGAAAAGGTTGATGGAAATGTTAAAATTTGAAGTTTTAAGCTTGCCTGAGGTGTTTATTTGGATTTTCAGAAAAAGAGTTAATACATATAAGTTCTGATGACAGCCAACATTTACCTCACATGATTGATGAGCTGTTTCTTCTGTCGACTTCTTCCCAGATATTCCCATAAGAATTGTATTTCGTTCTCTACGTCTCCAGACAGCGTGTAACACTGCTAACACTAGTTGATATTGACAGAACAGTTAGAASTTGCCTGATAGCAACACATTCCTGAAACCTTTTCTCCATTGTCTGGAGMTGTATGGTCCCTGCTAGTTTTTAACCTCTACTTCCTGTTTGGTACCATGTGTACCATCAGTGTCTGATGGAATTTCACTTTGCGTAACATGGTTGATTCACACCATACCAGTAGATGGAAACAATCCAAGTTCTTATTTTTCTTTCTTTTTTGCAACATTTTTAAGGTTTGCTCACATTACATTGGTTATTGACAGCTGGAGTTAGGCACCAGGGCCTCATGTATAAACGGTGCGTACACATAAAAAAGTTGTGTGCGCCAGGTTCTACGTCCATGTTGTGATGTATCAAAACCAACGTTGTGTGAGAATGTGCAGCAGMCACACAAAGTTTTTCAGTCGACAGTTTTAACTCACAAAGTCATGAATCTGACCTGAATCCACAGAAATATGACTCTGTTGTGTTTTCTGGATGTAAGGAGCTGAGGCATTTTGGTGATTTTCACCTCATGCCTCTCCACGTGTCTGGCAACATTAATTGAATGCACCTGCTG